AACCAAACAAAATATATTTTTTAGGTGCGTGTTGCATATTTTTATGTAAGTGCACAATCCAAACGCACACATTCCTGCGATAAAAATGGTTGTGTGTATAAGTGTGTGCTGCAGCAAATGCCGTCTGGAAGCGAACAGAATCAGCAAGGGAGAATGTCACCAGCACACCGAGGATCACCAATATGGGTCCAAAAGTTTTAATAAATGATCACATAGGTACAGCAAGGCAACATTGCAGAGTCTCGCAGGACCCCTTCATCAGGCATGCCTGATGAAGGGGTCCTGCGAGACTCCAAAACATTGCCTTGCTGTAACTATGTGATTGTTCATTAAAACTTTTGGACCCATATTGGTGTGCTGATGATATTCTCCCTTGCATATCTTTATGTCACGCGTATTTGCACAGCAGTTTTTCAAACACATATTTTTGGGAAAAAATACACTTTAATGAATTTTAATGCACAAAAACACAATTTAATACCCAAATGTTTTAGGTAACATATAAACGATGATGTTACACCAAGTAAATAGATACCAAACATGTCACGCTATAAAATTGAGTATGCCTGTGGAAGGGCGCCAAACTACTGTACCTAAAAATTCCCATTGGCAACGCTTTAAAAGCCTTTACAGGTTACCAGTTTAGTTACACTAGAGTTCTGGCATTAGAATCATTACTCTCGCTCTGACGTTTGCAGCGATACCTCATATGTGTGGTGCGATGGCCATTTACATATGCATGCGGGACTGATGCATGTGTTCACCTTTACATGTGAGCATGGTGAGACTGGGGCGCTTTATTATTTTTTTAATTTTAATATTTATGTTATTTGATTTTCTTTCTTTTTTTTTACTCTGTAACTTTAGTTTTTTTAATCACTTTTATTGCTGTCACAAGGAATGTAAACATCTTTTGTGATAGCATGGGCCATGACAGGCCTATTGGGCTCTAAAGGTCTTCTCTGGCCTCCAAAGCATCAGATCACACCAAGATTGGTGTGATCTGATGATTGTTCAAGCTGGTAATAGCTTGTGTAGCACCCTCCTAGGTCAGATGCTAGGGGTGAGGTAAAGCTAGCTTTTGGCTCCTTTGTTAGAAGTGGAGTCTAATTGTGTTTGTCTACTCTGGTTCTGCAGTTGCTGGAAACATAGGGAGCGGGAGAGGGAGAAGTCTGGGCTGGCTTAGATCCACAGCCAATACCTGGTCAAAAAGAATGGCCAGCAGGGGGCTGTGAGGGGTATACAAGGCTGAGAGCAGAGAGTGGCAGGGTCTTTTGCCAGCAAGAGATTAGTGATAGGCTTGATGCTCGAGGCGAACACACGAATGGTAAGGGCGTTTGGCGGGCTGTTCACCCACCACGCTCCACAATGCACTGCACTCGCACAGTGCATTGTGATTGGCCAAAGCAATGCACCTGACCACAGGTCAGGTGCAATGCTTTGGCTAATCACAGCATTATTGGGCAGAGCTAGTGGTGACATCACCTTTAGCTCCGCCCAATTGTTTACATCTGACCGGCAAATGTCAGATTGTGGTGAGTGCTCAGCAGGTGCGGACAGGTCTGCGGGCATCGGGTTTATTTTTATTTCTGTGAGTTGGCGTGACAACGCTGGACGCTGTGATTGATGATGGAACCATTTTTTTATTTTGGGTTTTTAAACCACTTGCTGGCCACCCTATAGTAGAATATACAGCTGAAACTCGAAAAATAAGAATATTGTGCAAAAGTTCATTTATTTCAGTAATGCAACTTAAAAAGTGAAACTAATATATGAGATAGACTCATTACATGCAAAGCAAGATAGTTCAAGCCGTGATTTGCCATATTTGTGATGATTATGGCTTATAACTCATGAAAACCCCAAATCCACAATCTCAGAAAATTAGAATATTACATGCAATCAATAAAACAAGGATTGTACATAGAACAATATCAGATCTCTGAAAAGTATAAGCATGCATATGTACTCATTATTTGGTTTGGGCCCCTTTTGTAGCAATTACTGCCTCAATGCGGCGTGGCATGGAAGCTATCAGCCTGTGGCACTGCTGAGGTGTTATGGAAGACCAGGATGCTTCAATAGTGGCCTTCAGCTCTTCTGCATTGTTCGGTCTCATGTCTCTCATCTTTCTCTTGGCAATGCCCCATAGATTCTCTATGGGGTTCAGGTCAGGCGAGTTTGCTGGCCAATCAAGCACAGTAATCCCACGGCCATTGAACCAGGTTTTGGTGCTTTTGGCAGTGTGGGCAGGTGCCAAGTCCAGCTGGAAAATGAAGTCAGCATCCCCATAAAGCTCGTCTGTGGAAGGAAGCATGAAGTGCTCTAAAATCTCCTGGTAGACGGCTGCGTTGACCCTGGACTTAATGAAGCACAGTGGACCAACACCAGTAGATGACATGGCTCCCCAAATCAACACAGACTATGGAAACTTCACACTGGACTTCAAGCATCTTGCAGTGTGTGCCTCTCCATTCTTCCTCCATACTCTGGGTCCTTGGTTTCCAAATGAGATGCAAAAGTTGCTGTCATCAGAAAAGAGGACTTTGGACCACTGAGCAACAGACCAGGTCTGTTTTTCTTTAGCCCAGGTAAGATGCTTCTGACGTTGTTTGTTGTTCAGGAGCAACTTGACAAGAGGAATACGACATTTGAAGCCCATGTCCAGGTTTCGTCTGTGTGTAGTGGCTCTTGATGCACTGACTCCAGCCTCAGTCCTCTCCTTGTGAAAGTCCCCAACACTTTTGAATGGTCCTTTTCCTGACAATTCTCTCCAGGCTGCGGTCATCCCTGCTGCTTGTGCACCTTTTTCTTCCACATTTTTCCCTTCCACATAACTTTATATTAATGTTCTTTGATACAGCACTTTGAGAACATCCAACTTCTTTTGCAATTACCTTTTGAGGCTTTCCCTCCTTTTGGAGGGTGTCAATGATGGTTTTCCGCACAACTGTCAGGTCAGCAGTCTTTCCCATGATTGTGATTCCTACTGAACCAGACTGAGAGACCATTTAAAGGCTTATGAACCCTTTGCAGGTGTTATGGCTTAATTATCTGATTAGAGTGGGACACTTTGAGCCTAGAATATTGCACCTTTTCACAATATTCTAATTTTCTGAGATTGTGGATTTGGGGTTTTCATGAGCTGTAAGCCATAATCATCACAATTATGACAAATCACGACTTGAACTATCTTGCTTTTGCATGTAATGAGTCTATCTCATATATTAGTTTCACCTTTTAAGTTGCATTACTGAAATAAATGAACTTTTGCACAATATTCTAATTTTTCGAGTTTCACCTGTATGTGATTTGCATCTCTTGGTATGGGGCATACATGCATGGGTGCCACTCTACCTGCGCCACCGTTGGAGGCTACGGATGTCAATCACCGGGTCCCAGCTGGAGATTCCCTGCCGGCACCCGGCGATCGCCATGTAACACTGACAGGGGAGAGATCTGTGTGTAAACAACACAGGTTTCTCTCCTGCCCGCAAGATCATGCTTCTGTGTGCTTCTCTGCACAGCAGAAGAATACACAGCAGCATGTTTCCCTAGTGAAACACACACAGCACACACAGTTAAAGAGCACACAGCACACAGTTAATCCTTTGATTGCCCCAGATATTAACGCCTTCCTGCCCAGTGCCATTAGTACAGTGTCTGTGCTTTTTATTAGCACTGATCATTGTATTAGTACATTGGGATGTCAGTGGCAGTTAGTCAGTTCCCCCCCCAGTGTCAGAACTCCCGCCGCAGTCCCACTATAAGTTGCTGATCACCGCCATTACTAAAAAAAAATAAAAAAATTCCAGTATGTATAACATTTGTAGACACTGTAACTTTCACGTACACCAATTAATTTACACGTATTCTGATTTTTTTCAGCAAGACATGTAGCAGAATACATTTTGGCCTAAATTTATGATGAAATTTGATTTTTAAATTTTTTTTACTGGATATGTTTTATAGCAAAAAGTAAAAAATATTGTTTATTATTTTTTCAAAATTGTTGGTCTTTTTTTGTTTATAGTGCAAACAATAAAAAATGCATAGGCAATCAAAAACCACCAAAAGAAAGCTGTATTTGTGGGTAAAAAGACATACATTTTATTTATGTATAGTGTTGCATGACCGCACAATTATCAGTTAAAGTAACGCAGTGCCGTATTGCCAAAAAATAGCCTGATAAGGAAGAGGGGGGGGGGGGGGATCCTCTGGAGGGCAAGTGGTTATAAAGGACTTGTCAAAAACTGTTGGTTTGTTTTTAAGTCTGGTGTCTTTATTGTTTACTGAATTTAACCATTTAGTGAATGGGTAGAGGTACAAGCACTACTTACTCATTCACAAGGGGGAGGCAGCATCAGGGTGCCACCTTATTTAAAGGGTACCCTGGTGCTCATGAGCTCCCCTGCCTGCAGACCCCCAAAACCACTGGGCCAGAGTTGTGGGGAAGAGGCCCTTGCCCCCATTGCCATAGGGACACCTATGCTGAGACAACGTGGCTTGGTAAGCCGCAGGGAGGGAGGGGCACCCCCTTTCCTGCCCTGCCTCAAAAATGGGGGGGGGAAGTGTGTGCGGTTCCCCCTAAAAACCCTACCAGGTAGGATGTTTAGGGGAAACTCACCCCCAAAAAAATGCAATTAAGAAAAACATACGTGCGGAGAGCACGCGCCCTGCGCTCCCAGCACACATGTCCGGTACTCACGGAAAGGTCCCGATCTCCTCTTTCGATCTGGACCTTTCCCGATCATGTGACTGCCATGACGGCGAATCACATGTCCCTAAAATCCCGGCTTCTGAAACCCTTAAAGGGCCAAGAGGCACCGGCACCTATAGGTTAAACAAAAATTGTACGATCTGGAATCATACGAAAAAAAATTTCATGGTTGTCCCTTCATATAATTTCGGACGTTCGTACTAACGATCAGATTATCGTACGATCTCTTCGTAAGCAGTATTTTTCATACAATATTCTGATCGTGTGTGCTAGACGTTAGGAAGAGGTCCTTGGGGACCAGGGGCGGAATGACTATTTGGAAACTTGGGCACTGCCCGAGGGCCTGGGGTCAGTAGGGGGCCCCATGAGATACCCCTGGTACCTTTTTCATAGGCTTTTTTGAGTTTGGGCAAGGACACAGGGGCCCCATGATCCCCTATTGCCCGAGGGCCCCATGAGTTGTCAGTCGCCCCTGTTGGGGTACCTTAAAATGCTGCCTTTTATGGTGGCCATAAAATATCTTGGATTAGGATTTATACATGTGGGTTATGTGCATGATGAATGGCCCTGAAAGGGAATAAACCGAATCAGTAAATTGCAAGTAAATATTACATACAAGTAGACGGCACGGCCATGTGAACAAAGCAAGCACATCTATATTTCTGCTTTCTTGCTTATTTGTATGTAGATGGGTGTATAGCAGGTAGACAGGTGATTAATTGGTACAAGGGATTAAAAGGTCGCTCCTGATCGCCCTATCCTTCATGTAAGGCATATTTAGCAAGGAGAAAGCAGCAAGCAATCAGGAGCTCATGGTTGCTCTCAAAAGCCGAGAGCCGAATACTAGCTTCTGCTAGCCGAGCTCCCCAGAGAAATGCTGCTTTTACAGGATGACTATAAGTGTATTGTGTCGCCTCGGCCTCACATGACTGCCGGAACGTCTCCTCCTGTCCCCCATTGATTTGAAGACTATTGTTTGAGCTCTTATGATAAATGGGAAGCTCGTGCTCATACATTGTGAATCCAATTAAACTTGTCAGTTTAGCTGCACCATTCACCGGCGCTTCATTCCATGCACACATCACAAGAGTGGGATTGCTACAGCTGTTGGGATGTGTTATATCTGCCGGATTCTTCGTCAATGTGGACATGAAATCCACCTGCCAAATGAAAGTCAGGCTGGATTGTATCACGGTGGCTCAGTGGGTATGCCTTCATTCAGAGGGAGGAGCAGCACTGAGCATGAAGATAGTAATGCTTCATGTTTTTCAAAGGAAGATTGACTTAATCCCTTCTCAGCAGCATGGCTACATTGGGTGAAACAATACGGAGGTACAGGCTACAGACACGGAGATAAAGGGTCTGAGTGACATCAGTATCGGCTATACAATTCTCAATTACAGCTGCTGTATCGCAGGCACAGGCCTGCACTGAATGTGTACCTGTTATGTGCCACAGTACAAGTAACCAGATGATTAATGGATAGGAGACTTATTCTATTTTCAGTTTACTAGAAAATAGAGACATCTTTGAGTCTTGAATTATTACTTGCCAATTTTGTCCCACCTCCCAAATTCAATAGGCTTGCTTAAACTCCTCGGCGGTATGATTCTTTCTGATTTTTTGTGTTGAAAGCGGTACCATTTTTGTGCATAGAAATATGTAGTTTTTTATTGTAGGCTGTAATTTTTAGGAATAACTCACTGAAATCTGTCCGAACAAGAGTCTAGTAAACATTCCGGGTAGGATAAAATTTGAAACACGAAATCATAAATTATAATTTAATAAATAATCATAAAAAAAAAATAATATAATAATAATAAATTTAATTCAATAATATAATCAAACCAAAAACACTGAAATTTTAAATACAGAGACAAATTCGCACATCACTGAGCAAAGTCGCAAAATCGTTTTCAGTGTCTGATGACGAATTTCCCCACAAATCATTATCACTCAATTCTGCAAGTGGTTCTGATTTACTATCGCTGTTCTCTAGCTGGTCTAAAACCGCTTTTGACATAAAGGGAAGCTTTTTTGGACGCCATGGACTTTTCTAAGTTTCCAGGCAGAAAGAACAGTCAAAATGCAGGCAGGGCACAGGACAAAGCAGTAGGGACAAAATGTATGTGAAATGCATTGAAACAGCAATGACAGCAAAAATGACATTTTTTAAGAATTTCAAATTTCCCGCCGTTTCCGGCGCCCGTACGTCCCAATGTCACAGGGACCAGAACACGGAAGCCGGATGCCGGCATCGGCCGGAGGAGATGGCCGGGGACGCTGCAGGGGACACATCGTGGGAGCAAAGGACAAGGTAAGTGCTGCAGGGACCCCCGGAGAACGCCGCATGGTAAGCCCGAGTGTAGCTCGGGGTTACCGCTCTTGGTAATGAAATTTTACCCCGAGCTACACTCGGGAACACCGCTAAGGAGGTTAAAGCAGAACTTAACAATATCTGAGCATCACAAACTGAAAACACTATTTAACCACCCTGGAGGGATTCCCGAGTGTAGCTCGGGGTAAAGTTTCAGTACCACAAGCGGTAACCCCGAGCTACACTCGGGCTTACCATGCGGCGCTGCTCCGGGATCTGTTCTTCACTTACCTTGTCCTGCACTCCCGCGATGTCCCCCCTGCAGTGTCCCCGGCAATGTCCACCGGCGGATGCCGGCATCTGTCATCTGGGTTCCAGTTCCCTGCGAGCGTCGGGTCGTACGGGGGACGGAACGGCGGGAAATATGAAAATGACAAAAAGTGACATTCACTAAATACACTAAAATCACATAGTAAAACATTACTGTATCAAACCATTTCACATACATTTTGTCCCGAGTGCTTTGTCCTGTGCCCTGCCTGCATTTTTACTGTTCTTTTTGCCTGGAAACTGAGAAATATTCATGGCGTCCAAAAAGCCTCCCTTTAGGTCAAAATCAGTTTTAGACCAGCTAGAGAAAAGCGATAGGGTAGAGCTACAGCAGGTTGACGCCACGCCGCCGACACCATGAGGGGTCCCGGCGGCCATCTTGACTTGGTCAGTATTGCCTTATTACTTTTATTATGCTCACTTGCCTGACTCCTGGAATAAACATCCTTGACATACTGCACTATTGGTCTCCTCTGTTCTTTTGAGCTCCTGTGGGAGCTGGCTATACTTGCAGAGCGGTCATCCCTGAGTGTGAACCCTGAGTGTGAACCATCAGGCAGTGAATGATACATGACCAGATCTGACCAGATCTGTGAGGACATCTGATGTTTTTTGATATACAACACAAATGCGCATAAAGATTGCGTATCTGGTGAGTGAGCAATCTATACCCTATTTTCTCACCTCTTCCACGGTTTCAGTCATTGGACGTCTGAAGATCATCGGAGATCTCACTCACATTGTCACCTTGGGCTTACCTTTAAGTTGATTGAGTACACCTCTTTCACAATACCAGCCACACATTTAGTGCAACACACATTTGCACAGTGTCACTATATTATGTATATTTATATATGAACTTATTGTTTTTATACTTTTATTTATTTATAATTTCTGTGAATTTTACCAGCGCTGCACCCCCTCTTTATATTACTGTCTGCTTGAAGGTCTTATATGGTGCCTTTGGTTCATAGCCGCTGTTATATTACATTATTTCCAGCGCTCACTTATTCGACTTCTTTATAGTAAATCAGAACCACTTGCAGAATTGAGTGATAATGATTCGTGGGGAAATTCGTCATCAGACACTGAAAACAATTTTGCGACTTTGCTCAGTGATGTGCGAACTTGGCGCTATATTTCAAATTTCAGTGTTTTTGGTTTGATTATATTATTGAATTAAATTTATTATTATTATATTATTCTTTTTTTATGATTATTTATTAAATTATAATTTATGATTTTTGTGTTTCAAATTGTAACATACCCGGGATGTTTACTAGACTCTTGTTCGGACAGATTTCAGTGAGTTGTTCCTAAAAATTACAGGCCTACAGTAAAAAAAATACATATTTCCATGCAAAAAAAATGTACCGCTTTGAGCACAGAAATATGGACATAATAAGACCGCTAGGGAGGTTAATTATTTATTTTATTTCAGGTACTTATATAGCGCCATCAATTTACGCAGTGCTTTTACCTATATATTGCACATTCACATCGGTCCCTAACCCTCAAGGGGTGTACAATCTAAGGTCCCTAACTCACATTCATACATACACATACACATACTAGGGCCAATTTAGACAGGAGCCAATTAACCTACCAGCATGTCTTTGGAGTGTGGGAGGACTCCGGAGTACCCAGAGGAAACCCATGCAGGCACAGGGAGAACATGCAAACTCCAGGCAGGTGGTGCCGTAGTTGGGATTTGAACCGCCGACCCTAGTAATGCCAGGCAGAAGCGCTAACCACTTAGCCAACAGCAAACTCACCCATCAAAACACCCTCTTGAATTTCTAGCCATGGCCATCTTAACCACTTCAAGTTTGGACACTTTCACCCCCCTTCCTGTCCAGGCCAATTTTCAGCTTTGAGTGCTATCACACTTTGAATGACAATTGCACGGTCATGCAACACTGTACCCATATGAATTTTTTTGCATTTTTTTGAGACAGATAAAACTTTATTTTGGAGGTATTTATTCACCACTGGGATTTTTATTTTTGTTTTTGCTATATAAATGAAAATGTCCACAAATATTGAAAAAAAAAGTGTTTTTCTTATAAAATTTTGCAAATAAGTAATCTTTCTTCATAAATCTTGGCCAAAATGTATTCAATTAACTTTTTAGTAAAAAAAAAAAAACACAAATTAGTTTATAACCAAAAATTATAATTTTTCAAAAATATTTTCACATTTTTATTTTATTTTCTTATATTATTATTTATAGTTTTTTTTTTGGGGGGGGGGTTTATATACTGTCACCCTAGCAGTACAGTGTCACCATATTGACTTTTTTTTATACACTGATTGCTTTTACACCCATAAAGGCTGTAAAAGCAATAACTTCTATTTCTCTCTGGCTGCATTCTTGCAGCCATTAAGAAAAACTGTGTGAGCTGTGATTGGTCACAGCTTGTCACATGGTACAAGGCTGTTGTGAATAGCCTTGTACCATGTGATCGCTGTGATCATTCACAGATTTCACAAATAGTAAGCAATGATGTCAGAAGTGACATCTTGTTTACCACTGTTCATGTGATCACTGATTGGCCAATCAGTAATCACATGATCTGGACCTCACATAGAGGTCCCGTACAGCGATCGGTGTTCCTCCGGACACAGCGGGCACCGGATCGCGGTGCCGCGCGCTCCCAGGGAACGCTCACAGGCTTAAATGGCGGCGCCGTTTATGAACAGCAACCCTTTCCTGCACTGCTCCCATCCGGCTGTTTATATACATGGGCCAGACGGGAAGTGGTTAAGTAAGGGCTCATGTACACTGCAGCTTCTAAACTGACATTCAGA